GGGAACGGCACCGCCTCTCTGTGACGCCTCTTCCGCAGCCGTCACGGACGGGCCCGCCCCGTCGTTCCCGTGGGGAACGGGGGAAATGGAACTGTGGGTGCTGTTGCCAAGGCCGAGAGTTCGGGCCGCCATCGTTGCCCGGGGAGACGTTCGCGGGCGGGTGCCAGAGGGTCGGTGTCCGACTCTTGTCGGTGGTACCCATAGGCGGGATGAGGAGCAAGGGCTATAGACTAAAACACGAGAAGCTCGCCAACCCGAGGGAGAATTTTTGACCTGAGGGTGGCACAGTACTGGAACTGAGAGGTTGTGGGGTCTCCCTCTCGAGAGATATTCACACACGTTCCTGTCACCTGTTCCAGGTGACCCTGCCTTGATGATCTCCAGAGGTCCCTTCCAACCCTAACGATCCTGTGATTCCCATGCAGGATTCCCTCTGTCTCCGTGAGGAGTTTCCCTAATGCCCAACCTGAACTTTCCCCCGGGCGGCTTCAGAGCATCCCCTCGTGTGCTACGGCTGGAGGCCGGAGAGGAGGGATGAGTGCCTCCCTCTCCATCCCTCTCTGAGGGAACTGTGGCAAGGACCTCCCAAAACTCCATGGGTGCTGCTGTGCGGGAGTCCGGCAGTGCTACCTCTGCACAGACACAGTGACCTACCGGGAGAATGTGTTTGGACTGCAGTGAGGCAGCTACAGGGTGGAAAATACCCCTGCAGCTCCCAAGTGAGATGCAACTACATCCTTGTTACGAAGTAATGCAGCCCGCTGTGTTTTACCTGTAGATGGGCGGGCACCCCTTCTGTGTTTGGTGTCCAGATGCCCCTGCTGGCAGGGGGGGCCGCAGCAGCCAGGGGGGCTGCACGTCCCCTGCCAGCCTTTGGGATCACAGCCAGCTGGCAAAACCCTCGGCACCCCCGAGTGGAAAACCACTGCCTGGAACCAGCCATAACTGAGCAGGCGAAACACCCAGAATAAAGCAAACTCTGCTCATTTATTTGCTCTTTATCCTGTATATTAAGGAGGTTTCTGGATCAGATTGCTGGGACAACAAAGGGATGGAACCAAGAGCTGTTTCTAGAACATTCCCTCGTGCTTCTGAGAACAGACACACCTCAGTTTCACAAGTATTGTAGCCTGACAGAAGCTGGCACAGCCTTAGAGAAGTATGGTGCCAGCCTCCTCAGTGCCTTCAGCTGCTTTGTTTCACATTAGCAGCGTTGGGTGTCTGTGCTTGACTGGTGCTGCTGAAGATTGACTTGCCAGAGGAAATCACTAAATAAATGCCAAGACTGATGGTAGCAAAGTGTGTGGGGAAAAGACATCAAATAGTTGGGGAGAATGAGACCGCTTCTTTCAGAACCTGCACCAAGGTAGCTTAAATATTACAGGACTAAAGAATTAGTTGCCTGCAGCACCTCTGTACATTTTTTTTTAGCCGTGCTTCCTCTCTTTGAAGTTTTATCTTAACCCATTTCTTTCACTCTCCTTAGAAACTCATCTGCAAACTCTTTCTTTAAAAAAAAAAAACAAACAAAAAGGCATCTGGAAAAGAATTAACTTGGGAGCAGGGCAAATGCAAGGGTAAGGCTTTATGTGTGTCATCCTAATGGCACTCCAAAAATGTGTGTTGAAATTAATATTTCCTTTTTGGGAGCAGAACACTGTGTGCCTTGTATGAATCTGGAAGTGTTTTGTTCCCTCCCCTCAACTCGTCAATGATACTATCTCGCAACAAGGGTTTTATTCTTGTGCGTGGTTTTCAGACCTGATCTCCTTTCACATGCACTGTCAGCAGTTTAAAACAAGCCCAGGAGAATTCTTTATGAACTTATGACTTGGCACGTGAAGTTTGGGCTGGCAGTATGTTGATGCTTTAAAAGGAAGTGGGGTTTTTCATTCTACCTAAGCATATAAGATTTCACATTGTTTCAAGAAAGCTTTTTTTTTGGTCATGTCATTTAAACAAATTCATTTTTTAGATACAGCTCTATGTTTAATAAATATAAGCTGCATGTTTATCATATCACCAAACAGGATAAATACAATGAACAATATATATTTTATGCTAACTATATACATAGCTTAACAGTTAATAAGTCTATTTTAGTAAGTAGGGTAATTCTGCTGCCTTCCAGGTTCTGACTCATGTCCTTCCCCAGTGTATCTGGTGTCATTTTTCTGAGCATGCATCACTTTGCATTAATTTGGAAAAACACAGTTCTCACGCACTTTCACAAAACCCCCATTACAGACTCTCCAGTGGATGAACTTTTCAGTTATTTTGGGATACTGTGAAGCCAGAAAACTTGATAATACTTTCTGAAAGGGATGAAATAAAGTTCTGTAGAATTCATTTGCATGTTACATGTCATGTATAACCTTAAATCTAAGAATCTTGAAATAGTCATAGTTTTGATTTTACCATGTTGGAATTATAAGTATGGTTGGACTGATTTTTTTTTTAACTTCTCAATGACTCACAAGAAGGTGTTAGGCAAAATGAATTTTTTCACTTCTTTCATGCAAAGATCCTCATAATATTTTTATTTATGTCTGGGGGAATGAAATTTGGATGTCTCTGTACTCTGGACTACATGTTGTATACCACTGATTGGAGTGTGGTGTGTTAGGGTCAACAAGGACTGTGAAATTTTGCTGAAATTATGTGGAATATTTTGCTTGGGTTTTGTATGGAAGCAAGCAGCACCAAGAACTGTGATGAAGAGGAAGGAGCCTGGTTCAAACAGAAATCAAATTGTATCTATGAAATCTGTGAAAGGAGAAGAAATTAATGACAGGGTAGAAAGAGAGTGAGAAGCAGGAGCTAAAAAGCAGACATCTGGGAAGATGGGGGTGGGGGGAAAAAATTAGCAGCAGGGGTTAGAGGTGAAGGAAAGTGTGTAAGTAGGTCAGGAACTGTCATGTTGATGTGGAATATTGGAGCAAAGAGGAGTAACGTGCTCAGAAACTGAGGGTGAGAGCAGAAGTTGGGTGGGAGGAGAACAGATTTATTTTATTAAGTTAATGTAATCAATAGAAAAATAGAAAAGGCTTTCCCACATGATATGTTTTCTTCTTGGGGGCAGCAGAAGATTGCTCACTTCATGGATATTAGGGATTTTTAAAAGAGATGCTAAATTTGAAAGAAGTCCAGTCTATTCACACAGCTGTATTTTCATTCAGGCTGCTGGATACTAAGGCAGAGTAAATTCTTTCTTTCTTAAAGGTCTTTTTGTGACAGGCATTCAAAAATGTAAAAAAGTCATATTTAGATTTCCTTTGAGAGTGTTGTTAGTAAACACAGACAGCAGTGTAAATTTGAACACATTAATCTTTTGCAGCTGAAATTTTTAATCCTTTAACAGGTAAATTAATAAATATTGTGGTATGGAGTCAGCTTCAGATATGAATGTAATCCCAGTTTAATTAAATCAATATAAATATTTAACTGGATCCTTTGCAGTTTCATCGGTTTTGGACCCAGTAGTGCTACATGTTGCATAAAAAACTGGTAGAGAAACTGACTCTAAAATCTACATCCACCCCTTAATTTACTTGTAATACTGTGTATTAGGTATCTGATAGTAATCGTATGTCGATGTCAAGAGGCAGAAGAATATGATGCTCCATGGGAGATGTGAGGTAGAAGCAAAAGGAAAACAAGTAGAAGACAGAAGGATAGAAAATACAGCCTCTGTAGATTTTTCTGAGCTGGAAGTGTAGGGACCAGACTCATCTTGAGTGATTAATGTAGGCCAGGTGTGTTACATAGTCAAGCTTTCATCAAATATGTTTTTCTGTTTTGAATTTCAAGGAAGTAGTTAAAGAGTTTTCAAATCCATAAGGAATATTTGGGTTTGTAGATACATACTATATTAATTCTATACTACTAATAATTAATTACAAATCAGGTAAACTGATGTACTTGGGGAGTAAAAATAACAAGGGTTCAGACAAATACCCTTTCTATTTCCTTGTAGTCAAAATACCTCCCCCGAGAGAGGGCTGCAGAGTCAAGTACTGAGAGCACGTTGCCTTGGTTGGGTCGCACCTCCTCACACAGCTGTATTCAAAAGTAACCTTGGTGAACAAACCTAGATAAAAAAAAATAAGAGGCTTTCATTACATAACATGACTTTTGCTAATTCTCTGTATTATTCTCTTGTAGGATGTTTGCAAACCCTAGGACATAGAATTAGTTTTCACTATGAGGAAGGGCTCAGTTTTGATGTAAATTCCAAGGAATTCCTTTAATTTCAGTATACTACCACATATTTGCACTATGATAAAGATAATTCAGCTTAAAACAGCAGTAATGTCTCTGTGTCTCATCAGTTCAGCTTGGAGAAATATCACAGACACAACAAACTGCACCCATACTTTTGATGTCCCCATGTCTGCCAGGGTTATCTCAAGCAGAGTTTGATATGCTGAGGCACAGGACTACAGCTCTGTGTGAGAGGGTGTGAAGAAAATAGATAAATGAAACATGAGAGAAGGTTTTCAAAGACATGGTCTGCTCAGTCCTGCAGTCACTTTACAAAAAAGAAATTGTTGGGGGCCTGATCTTGAGATAATTTTGTATTTTCTGAAATCCTTCTGGTTTCATTCTCTCTTGACTCCAGAGGGATCGCTAGCATGAGCTAAGTCTGGCTTCTTGGCAGCTGAGCAATAGTGATGAGGCAACAGTAAAATGGCAGTGTTCATTTAATTCTCCACATTCTCCAAACATCCAGCTAGGAACCCACCACAGGGATGAAGGTCCAGAGTCACTGTGTGGCTAATCACTGTCTTAAAGTTTCTGGTAAGGAATGGGATTTTGAGCATAGATTTTTTTGTTTCCAACACCCAAATATATTTGTGCTTAATGAGCATGTGTTTCAGTTCCTTCCCTGTTTTTCCTCACTGGCCAGCTCCCTTATGGGGCTGGATGAGTGGCTGTGGTGAGTAACAGCTGGCCTGGAGGCCTCACAGTTCTAAATAATTCTAATTATAATTTTATAACTGAAATGTAACTAACTTTGTAACTGCCTCAGTTACATAACTCGGCCGGTCGGGCTGTTGGGGAGCAGGTAAAGCCGTTGGGGACACGGGCAGCCATGGCCAGGGGGACAACTAATTCAGCCAGCCAGGACTGACCACACAGAATTCCAAATGTGTGCAAGGAGAGCAGCACTCAACAAAAGCTGGCTGTTGTCACATGAACCTCGGTGTGTTCAGTCGCCTGAATGTCTCCAAAACTGCGACAAGCGGCTGCAGGCAGATACAGCTTTCCCAAATTGCTGTAATTGCCCCAAACAGACATTTTGTTACTGAGGGTCTTCTGTCATGATCTGTGCTCAGATAAATTAATAGGGATCCAGAGTGAGTGTCGTGAATATAATTTAGTTATTGAGAAGAACGGCAGCTGTGTGTGATGCATACAAAACACTAATTTGTGCCAGCCTACATTTTGTTGAAAGATGCTCAGGAGTAATGTAAGAGGAAGTTGATTTCTTCTTTTTTTAAGACACAGTGCAGACTTGCATCAGCTGCCTGGTTGTTAAATCACCTGTGAGTAAAAATACCCCACACTGAATTTAAATTACATAGAAATAAATTTTGAGTGAGGAAACTAGAACTTTCTTCCAGAAAGTAACTTGAGAAGTTGGAGGAACTTTAGTTTACTCAAGTTAAATAATTCCTGGTTGATCTGGAATAAATTGAAGACTTCTGTTTAAAGTGAGTGATGCTTGTGATATTAATGACACTTTCTGTTTTTAGAGAATCATTCTTTGATCCTGTATTTAAATGATCAGCTTAAGGCCTGAATAGGTTGCAGCAAAATTGATGCAAATTTCTGAAGTATTTTCTGGGTGCTGCTGGCTCTGTACAATTATTAGTTTAATGAGTAATATGACTATGTACTTCGTGCAGTGGGTGCACGTGGGACTGTCACAACTTAGATAATAGAGTTATTTTACAGAGTGCATACAAATTAAGCAAGAAATATTTTTTAGCTAACTAATGTTACAGAGTCTGAACCTCTGTTGTCTCATGTAGTTGCTTATGTGCATGACTAGCTCCTACATACAGTGACCAATGAAGTTTATATTTGTTTGTGTGGTTCTATCACAAAGCAAGGCACTGACTCTCATGCCCCAGAGTGGGGAACTGAGCTATTCCTTGTGTTAGGAAACTCTAGATTTTGTTTCAGCTGTGCCATAGGAATGTGACAGAGCACAGTTATTTGTTTAGATTTTAAATGGATTTCATCTGCATGTGAATAAGGAAATATATGCCACAACCTAAATGGACTTGGTGCGAGCACAAAACACACACCATCCAAGTAGGGGCTTGATGATGTTTTGCATTAAGCATGCACTGATGTGAAAAACTCCCTAAAGAGACTCATTTCAGCTGCCAGACAAAAGTTTAGAGAAGTGGCTTATCTCCAGGAGGAAGGTATGTCTGCTGTGTTTCTCCTTAATGTCCAAAAACACTTTACACTTAGAGAACTGGGCTGAGAGAAGTTGTGGCAAGACAATTTAAGATTTACACTAGTTAAATGCTTCTTGATGTACTGGTTGGAATGTGGCATAGACCAAAGGCTTTTGCTTAGGAAGCAGCCATTGGAATAACATGGGATGTCCTGGCTGATGTTGTGAGCAAATTTCTTAAAAGATTTCATAAATCTTACCTGCAGACTTTGAAACTTGGTTGAGCACTGGAACAGGCTGCCCAGGAAAGTGATGGAATCACTGGCCCAGAAGTGTTCAAAAAATGTATAGTTGTGGCCCTATAATTGTGAAGGACCTGACAATGTTGGATTAATGGTTGGACTTGATGATTGTAGAGATCTTTTCTAACCTTGATGATTCTATAGTTCTATGAACTAGGGGACTTTACTTTCCAGCTGGGAGATAGTCTCAGTGATTGCTGCATGTTTTCCCTCAAACTGTTTCTGCTGTAAGGTCTGTTACCTGATGTTTTGAAAACAAATTAAATTGTAGGAATGCAGCATTAAATGGTGAGAAGGAACCTAAACAACAAGTGGGCAGCTGGTGGATTAGCAGAACTTTATGGTGCTGAAAGTGTTAAACCACCGGTTTTCTCTTTAGCTTTTTTTTTCTTTAGCTTGCATTTTCTCAAGTTTGACAAAACGGACTAATCGAGGTCTTTGTGTTGAATCACAGCCAGGAAAAGCCTTATCTTGAGCTAAAGAGTAGCTGTATAAATTAGGTGCCAGAATTTCAACATTGCTGGGAAGAATCCAAACTTGTGAAGCTGCTGTGCCACAGCCCGATGAGTTTCGGTGAGCAATTGTCTTGGCATGTTCCTTTTTTTTTTTTTTTTTTTTTTTTTTCTCCACAGCAATCTCAATCCCAAAGTTTTCCCTTCCTTCTGGGCTCTTAAATCATGTCCTTCGGGAATTAGAGCTCACAAGTCTGACTTGGTGGAGTTTTAACAGTAGGTGGCAGTGGACAGCAAATCTAACCCAGCTGCCCTCTTGCACCTCTTCAATTGCTGCTGCTCTCTCGATTTATGACAAACACCCTCTGAAATGACTGTCTTAGAAGCAGTCTAAGAATCATATTCAGCTTCTCGCTGAAGAGCTTTTTTTTATTATCCCCTTTTAAATTCTTACGCGTTCTTGCAAAAGGAATGTTACCTGATGATCCAAATTTTTGTCAGGACTGTAAAAGGGAACTTGGCTGGTCTGGAAGCAGTTTTAGGCAGTATGGTAGAGCAGAGGATGTGAAGTTACTATTAAAATTGCTTAGATACAGCACTGAAAGAATTAAGTGGAGTTTTTGAGTTCTAAGTAGTGTGCTGAGAACATGAAACACAGCAGTGTTTTTCCAGCCCTGTCCTAGATCCCATTGTATAGAAAGACTAATGACAAGAATAGATGATGCTGTTTATTTCTACTGATTATCATTACCAATACTATCTGTAATGTCTCTGCTACTGCAGGCTTCTGTGGTTCAGATCAAGTAGATCTCCTGTGGAGAGAAGAATGATTCCGCTACATTTCTGTTTAGTGGTTGGGTCGACTTTTCTTGGATACTTTTCAAGCCATTCCAGGAATATGAACTTTCCTTGAACCCTTGCTGTGGTTACTTCTAGGGAGTGGCATGTGGCGTTAGTCAAGTGCAGCATGGACTTTTTAGACTGCAAAAAGTGAGAACCAGGGAAGAGGTGCAGTGCTTCAGCTGTCTGTGCCATTGACTCCAGATCCTGTGGATCTCCTCTTCCTTTTTCTGATAGCTCTGTGTGTTCAGGACTGGGAACTGCTGCCCCTTGCCAATGCTCCTGTGCATGACTCAGTTATCTCCAACTGTCGAAACTCTGGAGGTTGAACCTGTGGTCAGAAACCCTCACATAATTCTGCCCTCTCTGGGGGAACCATCAACTCTGCTTGTAAACCAAAAAGTCTTTCATGTAATTAACAACCTGTTGTGAGGAATTCACGCCATGCTTCTCTAGTGAAATCATGCCTGAGTTGCTGTGAGAGGCCAGAGTCTGAGGTGCCATAGGGAGGGCGAGCAGTGCTGCTGAGATAGGCACGGGTACAAGTGGTTTTGGCCCCACTTTACCTGCAAACCTGGCCAGCACTGTCCCCTCTGCTGGAGAGGAGCTGGGATCTAAAGTGTGAGACCAGATGGCACTGAGAGCCTTCCTTGCAGTGTATGAGTCACAGAGCCTGCACAGAACTGGAAATTAATACCTGCACCCCTTGGAGCTTCATTTCCTTAGCAGGGATGGGGTTGTAGTTCTGTGTGGAAGATGTCAGAGAACTTGAGCCAAAAGAGACTTCTGTGCATTGGCTTGCAAGAGGCTTGTGCTAGCAAAATGTAGCTACCTCGCACATACACTCATCTGAAACACCTTTTCTACTTGATTTTTACCTAACCATTTCCAGGTTTATTTTACAGGCTTAAAATTGTTATTTTAATATTCTAATTATTAGAATTATTTGTGCCTGTGTTTAGGGAGTACATTAAAAGATCCAACTCCTGATTTTATCCCTTACCAGATAGATGCTTCTAAAAATTCAGCAAGGATTTGCAGAATTGTTGCTTGGAGTGTGTCCAAAGAGGGGCAACAAGGCTGGTGAAGGGTGCGGAGCACAAAGGCTTCTGAGGTGGCACTGAGGGTTGTTTAGCCTGGAGAAAAGGATCATCAGAGGGACCTCACTGTGCTCTACAGCTCCCTGAAAGGAGGTTGTAGCCAGGTGGGGTCAGTCTTTTCTCCCAAGTAACGAGTGATAGGGCAAGAGGACATGGCCTCAAGTTACACCAGGAGAGGTTTAGACCGGAAAAACATCTTCACTGAAATGTCTTGCTTCAAAGCCTGCCCAGGAAAGTGAGGGAGGCACCCTCTCTAGAAGTGCTCAGAGGACATGGAGATGTGGTGCTTTGGGACATGGTTTAGTGGTGGAGGTGGCACTGTTGGGTTAATGATTGGACTCAATCATTTTCCAAACTCGGTGATTCTATTACTCTACGATTCTAAGAACTTCAGTTCTCCATTGCCACTTGCTTTGACCTGTAACATTTTTATCCTGTAAGACAAATCTAAAGTGTGAGTTTAAAAAGAAACTAGCAAGTGAAAACTGGCTTTATAAATCTTCTGTGCCTAGGTTGACCCATGCACGCGGGCAGTGGAGCAGCGAACCGGAACGGGCTCAAATGGGGAAAGAGCCGGAATTCAGAGATCCGCTCAGCCAGTGGGGTACCCGCGGGGTTTGGGAACAGCAGTGCGGCTCTT